GTACATGTACCCATGTTATGCAATGTCCAAGTCGGATTCCCCTGGAACTGGAGTTGCTAGCCACCGTGTGGGTACTAGGAATCAAACCTGGGTCCCCTGCAAGAGCAGCCAGTGCTCTTAACTGCTGAGCCATCTCTCCAGCCCCTCTTTCTTGTTTGTGTTTTTTTTCCTTCTTTCTGAGACAAGGTCTCACTCTGTAGCCCTGCCTGACCTGGAATTCAATTTATAGACCAGGCTGGCTTCAAACTCACAAAGACCAGCCTGCCTCTGCCTCCCAATTGTTGGGATGAAAAGCATGTACCACCACACCTGGCTTATGCTATTTATATTATTGTGCATACTGTATGTATGTGAGTTTCTGGACCCAGGGCACACATATGGAGGTCAGAGGACAACCTGTGGTGTGGGTTCTCCCTTTCCACCTTTCTGTGGCCTCCAGAGATTGAACTCAAGTCATCAGGCTTCCATAAAACAGGTGTTTTTTACTCACTGAACCATCTCATGGGGGCCTGTCTTTTAAAAGATTATTTATGGGATCAGGGCTGGAGAGATGGCTCAGTGGTTAAGAACACTGACTGTTCTTGCAGAAGACCAAGGTTTGAATCCCCGCACCCACATTGCAGTTAACAACTGTCTGTAACTCCAATTCCAGGGAATCTGACAGTCTCTTCTGTTCTCCATGGGCATTGCATGACATGGGTGCACTTACCTACATGCAGGCAACACACACATATGCATAAAAAAATAGTAAATTTTTTTTAAAAAAAGATTATTTATGGAGTCATAGATTTAGCTCAGTGGTAGAACACTTGCCTGCAAGCACAAGGCTCTAGGTTCAGTCCTCAGCTCTGAAAAATACTTACCTATGTATCTAACGATTGAGCAATCAATTGTGTGTGTGTGTGTGTGTGTGTGTGTGTGTGTGTGATGTATAGATGTGCCGGGCCACACATGGGGACGCCAGAGGACCACCCTCAGGAGTCAGTTGTCTCTTCCTACCTTGTGGGTTTCAGGGACTGAACTCAGGTTATCAGGGCTTTTAGTCACTGAGCATCCCTCTGTTCCCCCAACCATCACATCTTACAGGGACACAGCGTGAAGTCACTTCATTCTCTTTTATTATGATCATTTCACCATCTAGCTTGTCAAGTTTATTCCACGGCATTAACCATGAGAGACAAAGTACATTTTATGAAGGGTCCCACATCTAGCTATGTAATATAGTGCTTAAAGGCACAGATTCTGTGACAAAGTGGTTCTGTGGTGCAGGTCCCAGTTCCACTGCCCACTAGCTGTGGAGCTGTGAGATTTTGTTGGCCTCTCTAGGCCAATGAAGCAAGAATGGAAAGGGTGGAAGACAGAGCCTGATGCACAGCAAGCTCCCCACAAGTTTTAGCTCTTCCCCATTATCTTAACGGTGGAAGGCAGGGCAGGCATTATTACTCGATCCCCCAGACTGAGAAACTGAGGTACATAGGATTGACAGTACTCCAGAAAGGACCTCTCTCTGCCCCAGGTGGAAGGAAGCAGAGAGTACATGGGGCAGGGGTTCATAAAATTGAAGGACGAAGCTAGGAGTATGCTGGTGATCGTTCACACTTGCTACGGACCATCTCCTATACTTCTTCATATCAACTGATAACTTTAGAGAGTTTGAGTTTGGCAGGTCTATAGTAGTCTTGGTGCAGGCAGTGAGGGAGCTGTAAGGCCTAGGGAAGGGTGGTTCTGACCTCTGCCTGAACCAAGTCCTCACTGGCATTGCCATGATGTACCACTAGAGGGCGCTCCTCAATTAGTTTAGACAGCAGGGGTTGCAGGCACTCCCCCAATTTAGATTCCAAGATGGGGATGAAGCTATGTGAACTGGCAAAGGCCAACACAGCGCTGTAATTAAGTATAGCTTGTAGAAGTCAAGTAAGGTGGCTCACTCCCGTAATCAAGGATGATTGCCTTGAGTTCATGGCCAGTTTAGGCTATCTGGTGGTAAGTTCTAGGCCAGCCTGGGCTGCAGAGTAATATACTGTCTCAAATAAATAAGACAAAAGAAAATGAATATCTCCCTGGAGTGGGAATCTGAGAGGTGGGAATGTGATGCTGGACCTATCTTGGGACACTGAAGAAGCTGGAGGGAATACAGGAGCGGGGACTCTGGAAAGTGTGCGTGCGTGTGTGCGTGGTGCGTGTATGTAGTGTGGTGTGGTATGGTGTGGGCATGGTCTGAGTCTTTAAAAATATAAACTTTCTTACTCTTCTTCCTATCTCCTATAGAATTTTTTGATGCAGAAGGAAATGATGTGGATTTGAATTTTGGGGGGCTCCGGGGTCGAGGGGTCCAGAAGCAGGACCCCCCAATTGAACGAGACCTCTACTTGTCCCTGGAAGACTTATTCTTTGGCTGTACCAAAAAAATTAAAATCTCCCGAAGGGTAAGTACATAGCTCACTTTTCCTGGGACCACAGGGATCCCTCTGACCCTCCCTGTCACTTCCTCACCATCTTGATGAGCAGGGCTCATGGTGGCTGTCTTGGTGTCTAAAGCCCCAGCTTCATAAGTCTGAGGACATGCCCTGCCATCAAGAATCACAAACTCTTAGTTCCAGTGGCAATAGGTTGGGAGTGGGAATGGCTTGAGGCAGTTTATCTCCATTGTTATGGGAGAGCACCTAAGCACAGATCCCACAGAGCCTTTCCCATGAGCAGAGGGGGGCTCTGAGTCAATTCTCCTCTGTCCCATTCCCTGCAGGTGCTAAATGAGGACAGGTACTCCTCCACCATCAAGGATAAGATCCTGACAATTGATGTGAAGCCCGGTTGGAGGCAGGGTACCCGAATCACCTTTGAGAAAGAAGGGGACCAGGTGAGAGGGAGGGAGGTAGGCTTAGGTCAGTCACCAGGCTCAACAGTGTGAAGGAGACCATGATTTTTCTTATCTCTGTGAGCCCTGGTCCAGTCATGAGAGATAATCCCTAGTGTCCCTTCCCAGGGTCAGAGCTGTACAATGTCTGGGTGAGTGGGTAGCTTAGGGATTATAAATATTTTACATGGAAGGAAAACCAAGGCCCAGAGAGGGAAGGGACTCACTCAGGACTAGAGTACAAGAATGGAAAGGAGGGGTTGGAGAGATGGTGCAGTACCTCCCTAGTGTGAGGACCTGAGTTTAATCCCCAGCCCCCTGTAAAAAAGCTAGGTGTGCCGGTAGCCCTAGGGCTGGAGAGGCAGAGACAGAAGGATCCTTGGGGCTTGCTGGCCTAGGATCTGGCCTCCCTTTATCCTGGCCTTGAGCTTGCTGAGGAATTACTGTTTTTCCCACTGGGAGCTTGTTGGCGGATGCAGCTGGTCCGATTTCTCTGTCCTCAGTGGCCAGAAGAGACCTCAGCAGTTAGGGTGGCTTACTTAAAGGAAGTTATCACTCCTGAGTTATAGACTGGCAGAGGCTTGAGGGCAGTCGTTTGACAGCCCCCCCGCCCCCCAGTTCAGTATCCCACTGCCACACTAGAAAGTCCTGCCCCATCCCACTGGATGCATCTACTTTGGGGATGCTCAGTAGAAAAGTACTTCTCAGGAGAGTGATCCAGGTAGGCTTCTCTGGGGAGGGGCCCTAAGCCACACTGAAATGCCCCTTCCAGAAACATGGGCCTAATTTTCCATTGTGCAGATGAACACATGGAAACAGGTAAAGGCAGAAACTTGTCCAAGGTCACACAGGCAATATGTCCTTGTTACCCTTTTCCTTCCCTCCCAGGGCCCCAACATCATCCCGGCTGACATCATCTTTATTGTAAAGGAGAAGCTGCACCCTCGCTTCCGTAGAGAGAAGGACAACCTCTTCTTCTTGCACCCCATCCCTTTGGGTAAGGTGAGTGGGTACAGTGGAGAAGCAGAGTGTGGGAGCCCAGATCTGAGCCCCACTTGCAGCAGCCTAGGCCTCGTCACCTCTCTCCCAGTCACAGGTTCTTGTGGCTTTCCCCCGACCCCACGTCTCTCTCGGCTCTGTCTCCTCCACTGTCTAGTTCTGCACTGGGTAGATCTTTGCAGCAGGCCCTCCTTCCTCATCTTTCCACACTCAGCCCTGATCCTGCCACTGTCCCCACTGTCCCCACATCTCCAGGTAGCATTCGTTAAGGTGCCCCTGTGGACTCATCCTTTGCACTCCAGACCCCAGGGTGTGAGCACCCCTGCATGGGTAGGGCATTTTCACAGCTGGGTTCCCTTGTTCCTGCCAGGCCTCTGTGGGAATGTAGTTGCCCACCTCACCCTCAAGGCCCTCTTCACCTGCTGTCACCACTATGCAGCCCCCTTCCTGCTCCAAAGAAGCATGGCTCTCCTCTGAGCCCGTGATCTCTATCTTTCATAACTTTACACGTCAGTCTTATCACACTGCAAACTTGAGGGCAGGTTAATGGCCTGGCTCATTCACAGTTAGTTCCTGAACAGCCTTTTGTCTCCCTGGTGCCCAGCTCAGGATTGGACCCCCAATAGGCTTCTAAATGCCTACTGAACAGAATGTCTGTATTGACTCTCCCCACACCCATCTCCCATCCTAACCGCCCCAGGCCCTCACCTGCTGCACTGTGGAGGTGAAGACCCTAGATGATCGGCTACTCAACATCCCCATCAATGATATCGTCCAGTAAGTCCATCTGTCTTGGGCCCCAGTAGCCATGAGGAGGGGTGGACTGAGACTTGGAGGGTAGAGTCAGAGTTCTCCAGGTACAGCTGCACAGGCTGTATCCAGCAGGAGGATTTCCTGCTGAGAGGGTGAAAGAAGACTGAAACCCACCCCACACTCTGGCCAAGCCATAGGCTATGTTCACCTGGCAAAAAGAATGCTTTCCTCTAAGATGTATGAAGCCCTAGTAGAGGCCAGAGACCCACGTTGAGCAATCCCGGATGCTTCCACCCCACAAACTTCTCATTAGAGTTCAGAGCTGTAGCCCCCAAGTCCTTTTCCAAGAACGGTCCCCTAAAGGGGAAGGTTTGCTCAGCACTCCACCCGAGTCTGCCATTTCCTAGGGAGGGTCATGCAAGTTCCTGGGGTCTTCCAGCAGAGTACTATTTGAGCAGGGGTGTCAAGGAGTGTGATATTTGGAACAAGCCAGCCTCCCCTCTGTGTCCCTCCCACCCATCTTGGTGAGGGCTACCCATCCCACCCTGGAAGCTACAGTGACAACCTAGGACTGCAGTTCTGTGAGCTAGGGTGCTGTGGACTTGTTCAGCACTGCTCTATGTCCTCAAGCTCCTTTCTTTCATCTTTCCCTGTTTCAGTCCTAAGTACTTCAAGAAGGTACCAGGTGAAGGGATGCCATTGCCTGAGGACCCCACCAAGAAAGGGGACCTCTTCATCTTCTTCGACATCCAGTTCCCTACCCGTCTCACACCCCAGAAGAAGCACATGTTACGCCAGGCATTGCTGACCTAACTTTGGGGGGCTGGGGTGGGTGGAGGTGGCTAGCTGGGTCACCCACTCCTACTCACCCCAACTCTTACAGCACCTTCTGATGTCCTGTGAGGATGAGGTGGCATGGGACCTTAGGCAGACGTAATAAAGGTTCTTATTAGCTGTGCCCCGGAGTGTGCTGGTAAGGAGCATCCTACCCAAGAAGCTGGGTGGGCCCTGGGGGCCCTGTCATGGTTTCCTGGGCACAGGCAAGTCCCTGAGGCTTCAGAGCCTCTTTGCTTCCAACTTGGTGGCATGGGGCAGGGCTATGTGGCCTCTTGGGGTTCCTCTGCTCTTGATATTTCACAACATGATCTTAGAAAAAAACCTTCTCTGGAATGTGCTGCATCCCAACAGAGATAGGGAAAGTGAAGCATGGGGGACAGCGCTTAACCCAGTACACTAGTGTCCCTCGCAAAGCTGCCATCAGAATCTTAGGCCACTTAAGACTCACAAGCTTTGGTTAGAGACACACCAAGAACAAGGGTGCCAAATAGCTCTGGTCCCCCACCTCTGGCCTCAGTTTTCTTGTCTGTGAGATGACTCCCAAACTATCTCTAGGTCAGTGGTTAGGGAGACAGGGAACTTGGGCTCTGGCCCAGCTAGACCCCTGACTCCTTGACCCTGTTTCTGCCCTACCTTGTTAGCAGAGGTCATACTCCACACATGTGTGAGGACTGGGGATCATTGATGTGACGGTGCTTGGTGAACCCATACTTACATTGTAGGGAGGGTTACAGTAGTGCTGTCCAGGTGGCCTGGAGGAGCTCCAGCTTCTGGGTTCAGCCTGGGCTGTGTGGCCCACACCTGCACCCTTATAGTCAACAACAGTGTTCCTCATCCATGCTGGGAGACTGCCCTCTCTGGGATCTGAGTTTGGGCTGGGATAGGTCTAGGGTTATGGGCAGGAAGTGTGTGGGGTGTCTTCAGAGATGAGAAAAGCCCCCACATTGCTTAGCATCCTGAACCCTGCCATTCAAAGTACCATATTAGTTTAAGGGTTTTTTTCCTTTTTAAAAAAAAAATTATTATTTTCAATTTTATGTGTATGAATGTAATGTGTGCATGTATGTGAGTGCACCCGTGTCATGCAGTGCTGCAGAGGTCAGAAGAGGGCTTTGGATTCCCCTGGAACTGGAGTTAAGGATGGATTGTAGCCGCCATGTGGGTGCTGGGAATCAAACCCAGGTCCTCTGCAAGATCAGTCAGTGCTCTTAACTGCTGAGCCATCTCTCCAGGCACTTCCTTTTTTTTTAAAAAAACAAAAAAACAAAAAAACAGCGTTTCAGGTAGCTGAGACTGGCCTTGAACTCCTGATCCTCTTGCCTCAGCCTCCCAAGTGCTGGGATACAGGCATGTGCTACCATGCCTAGCTTTAGTTTTTTTTCCTTAAGTTGCAGTATCACACTTGGAAGATTTTTTTGTTTTTTAAAAAAACCAACAACAAAAAAACAAGTTCCTACAGTCCTGTCCCACCTGGCCTCAAAGTCGTGGGCTCAAGGGGTCCTGCTGATCAGGTGCTGAGTCTGAAGGCTCACCACCATGCCTGGCTTTGGCAGCCATCTTTGAACCACGATGAACCAACAGCAGAAACACCTCAGATAGGCTCTGGGTCGAGTCCTATGGGGCACTTCAGCCCAGTAGTCAGGTAGGTAGGCCTTGGGTCAGACACCTGGGCAAGTCACTTCACTTTTCTGGGCTCCTTTTTTCTTAAAATTAAACAATTTAAAAAAAAAATGTTATGTGCATGAATGTATTCCCTACATGTAAGTGCACCTGTGTTGTGCAATGCCTGCAGAAGTCAGATCCACTGGAACTGGAACTACAGACAGTTGTTACTGCTGAGAATTGGCTGCAAGTGCTGCCAGTGCGCTTAACTGCTGAGTCATCTCTTCAGTCCCTGGACTCCTTTCTTACAGTGAAGATTTCAACCTCAGTTACAGACCTTTGGTGGAAACCAGATGATGGAGTGAGACTCTACCCTCTGAGGCAGGGCAGAGATGGAAGTGATAATGGCCTGCTCTGAGAGCAAGCCTCCAGTGGGCGAGGCAGGCTACAAAACTAGGACTTCAGGTTTCCCTAAGGCTGCTGCTGCTGACCATCATGAAGGGTTCTGAAGGAAGCCTGGCTTCAGGCCCTGATGGCAGATCTTTATAAGATTCCCTCAGTAATTCATGTTACTTTGAGAGTCAGTTAAAGCAGAGCTTATCACATACCCATTCTATAAGAACTCCCAAGGCCTCTGGTATGTTTTCTTGTGACTCTGCCTTTTCCCAGCTCATCTGAAGGTATTCCCTGAGGCATTAAATCCAATGACTTTACATCTGTTAAGGTTCAGATAGCCCTGCCCCCTCACCAACAGGGTCTCAGGGACTTCTCAAGCTCTAGAGAAAAGGGAACTGAGCTGATAAGTGTCCTGGTCTTTGAAGTCAAGAGAAGCTGACTTTTCTCCACTCTTTGGCCAACAAAGCAGGGTTCCCCTTTGATCTCTAAAGAGAACAGGTTTTAACAGTCTCACTCTCCCACTCCCCTCGCCCCAACTTTAAAAAAAATACATCTTCCTGCCTTCTGCAGGAAGCAGAAGCTAATAAACTTTGCTTTCTCCTGATCAACCCTATTCATCATTGGGCTACTTTTTACCTGTCAACATCCATCCCACACGTAGGGATACAAGCTGGTCAATGAACCAGCTGACACACTGTGTACCTTCACCTGGCCTGCTTAGCTGTTGGCAGACATACCCTGGGTAGTAAACTTCTCTCACATTTAAAGGACCTCCATGTTGTACCTGAGTGCAGTGGAGCAAAGCTCACCCAGCCTGGGCTGCCTGCTACCCTCATTCTGACTTGCTGCCTGAGGAGACTGAGACCTCAGGCTGAATTTATCAGAAGCTGAGGAGCGCCGAGCGCTCCCTTCTCCAGGAGCCAGTCTAGTACCAGGATTTCAGAAGAGCACGGCTGTGGCTGTGTATGTCTGTGCGTGCTGGCCTGAGTGTGTGGCCTGCACCTCTAAGCCTTGGGCTACTAAGGAGGTGAAGGGGCAGTAGTTGCAGCTGCTCAGTTCGAAAGGAGGTCCTAGTATCCAGGTCTGGCTCTGACTCTATAGTTGCAGACAGTTCCCCAAAGACCCTGGGCACTGGTCCTAGGAAAAGAGCCCACCGAGCAAGGGGAGTTGAATTCCTGACCGGGCTCTGCTGGTATTTGTTTTTACCTTCATGGTTTGCCTTGGCCCTTAGCTAACTCAATCCAGTGTGGAGTCAGGCCTGCCTCCAATTACCAGGTTTAACACATGCCCTCAGGGTGGAGGTCAGCCTGGATTGACCTCAGTAGGTCTAAATGGAATAAAGCAAGCCCCCAAGCACTGGAAGTCTCTGGAGTTCTTTCAAATCTCCCAACAAGTAGGTATAGAGAAGGGAGGGGGGGTGTCCATCCACTGTGCAGGTCAACAGGCCTGGCCAGCTGGGGGATAGGAGGGCAGCCCTGGAGCACTAGATACCAAGAAAGTGACAACATAAGGGGACCACAAGGGAAAGGCAGGCAAAGGCACTGCTCTTTGGGCTGTGCCTTCATTTACCACCTCAACCTAGACAAGATCTGGAGAAATGGCTAGAGGACTTCCATGGCACCCCTCTAGATGCTAGATGTGGAATGTGGGTCATGTAAATGTGGATTTCTTTCCTGCCTGCCAAAGTGCCAAAAGGGCCTAGTGGACCAAGGCCTCTGGTAAACAGCTATAAGGGAGGCAGAAGACACCAAGGTTGAGCTTGCTTTATGGGTGAAGGCTGGCTGGGCTCGGGGTCAGGACAAAGATTTGGGCAGAGTCGTTAGGGACTGAGGCAGAGGCGAGGGAAGACTAGGTGGGAAGGTGGTGGGGGGGAAGGAGGGAGTGGGAAGAGGTGGTGTCAAGGAAGGGAAAGAGGGAAAGGTAGGGCAAGAGGAGGGAAGAAGGAAGGGAAGTTGGACCCAGCAGACAGGAAGCCAGAGCCCCCTTAAGGCATCCAGGTCAGCAGCAGGAGAGGCTCAAAAGGGCGCTTCCCGGGATGCATAGGCAGCCATCAGGGCCCGTTTGAGCTGCTCATAGGTGACGAACATCACTACATTCCAGGACCCCAAGCGGAGGAAGGAGGGCATGAACCTAGGAGAACACATAAGTCATTGGGGCACATCCACCTCCCACTTACTGGACCCAGGCATCCATCCAACCCGTGTGCCCTCTCTCAAAGGAGCTATGTCCAGCAGCAAGAATCCTGCAGCCCCACATACCACTTATTCTGTACTAGGAGGGATCAAACCCAGGGCCTTGTGCATGCTAAGCAAGCACTCTACCACTGAGCCATACCTCTTAGCAGGAGTTGTGTCCTGTGCCGCCCCCCCTCATTTTAACCGCAATAAAACAAGGCGACAGCAACTGTGGGAGGTTGGACATTTGGTTGCTTCTCACTTCTAGGTGATAATATAGGTAGGAGTGGCCAGAAGGCCTGGAGTTGGATAGGGAGATCGGAGGCTCACCCTTTGTAGAAGGCTCGGAGCCCCTCCTTCCGGAGCATGGTAAGAGCACAGTGGCCTGCACTGTGGTACTGGCCCAAGGCAGAGTTCATATATCTCGTCTTGACCACATCGACGGGGGAGGCAATGACCGTGGTGCAGAAGCCCGCCCCAAAGGCGGAAGTGAAGTGGCAAGGGAGGTCATCTGCCAAGGAGCAGTAGGAGAGACAGTCAGCTCTCCCCACCCCTCATTCTGCCATTCCAGGAAGAAAGAGTTAAGAAGGAGCTTTGTGGTTTTAAAGACACAGAGAGTCCAGCTAGGACCTACTTCTCCATCCCCTGATCTCATTGGAAAACCTGCTCTGAAGCCCAGCTTGATTGGCTGCTCCAGTGGCTAGCGCTCAGGAGGAAAGAGCTGGCGGAGGGAGGATGTGTGGGGGAGTCACTTGTGAACAGAGTGTATCCTGCTTCTTCCTCCTTGGCTTCACTCAGGTGGCTGGTACAAACAGGGACACCAAGAGCAACTCACCTGTCATGAGGTTGGCCTTCAAGAGCGCATCCTTGATGAGGTCATAGGTCACCAGCTCAGCACAGTTGACAATGGCATTGCGGGCAACATTGGGAGAGGTCCCTATAGAAGAAGGAAAGACTGTGAGACCAGGGCATGGGGGAGGGGAAGGTGGGGAAGGGCAACACTTAACAAGTACCTTTCCAGAGGCCCCGGAACCCTTCTTCGTGTGCAATGGTCTTGTAGGCTTCCACAGTACTTTGGTATCTCCGACCACTGCCAGCCCGGACCTGAGCTTGGAATCGGACCTTTACCACATCCGTGGGCTGGGCCACAGCCACAGCCAGGGCACCTGTGGTGCTACCTGCCAGGAGGCGGCTCCCAATGCCAGCATCTGTGGGTACACAGAGGTCAGTGGCCAGCTGGGCTTGTGCTCACTGGCACCTCATCTCTCCCTGCCAAGTCTCTAGGTCATCATCATCTGTGTTTTAGGAATAGGGTCCAGACCACTCTGCTCTCAGAATGCCTTACAAGGACATGGTAAAGAATAAGACTAAATGGAGACTTAGTGTTTTTGCTCCTAAAATGTGCTCATTTAACCTACTTAGCAGCCCAGAGAAAACAATCATTTCTATTTAATAAACGTGAAACCCAAGACCACAAGCAGTGGCTTTCTAATGGAGCAGACTAATGAGACAGGTTCTCATCCAAGATCTCTCCCTGCCATGGGATCCCAGGAAAGGCAGCCCTTCATCTTGGGTGGTCAGTTTCCTCATCTGTAAAGAAGACACAGCTGTAATCCTACTTGTAAGGCCGAGTTCCAGGCCAGCCAGGGCCACATGGTGAACCCATGAGCTCTGTCTCAATTCCAAGGAGGCATGATGTGGCAAATTAAGGGGATGCAATGAAAGAATGCTGGCTGTGGAGACAAACCTGTCTCTTCATCTGTGACCCATGGCAGCCCCCTACTCCCAAGGTGGTTTTGAGGACATGGGACGGTGCCCTGCTCATAGCTGGTATAGTCTTTGTACTCAGAAATTAATCCTTAGAATAGGGCCCATTCTACTTCTCCATTCCTCTGATCCTCCTAGGGGTCCTGGGAAGCCCAGAGGAACTACTGGGCTCTCTGAACTAAGATCAGGCATCACCCATGTCCATACTCACGCTCAGAGCCCTTGGTGTAGAACTGCTTTACGGAGTCATAGAGGCCAATACGGACAGAGGCAAAGCTCATTTGGCGCTGCAGGCCAGCCACCAGTCCGTTATAGAGGCTGCGTGGACCCTCAGTGCGTACCATGGTCAAGATGGTGCCCAACACACCACGGTACTGGGCGCTGGCTGCAGTGCGCACTGGCCCTTGACTTTCTCCTTGGATCTGCAAGGGCAAGATGGGGAGTGGGGGTGGCTGTGAACATAGGCAGGTGCCATGGGTTTCCTGTTTGCCCTAGACTCCACCCTTGAAGAGTCTGACCAGGGGAAGGAGATTAGGTACCATCAAGACCCTCCTTCATCCTCACCTGCAGGCGGACTTTGGCTGTGTCCAGAGGAAAGGTGATGAGATCTGCGATGCAGGCGGCTGTCCCAGCCCCCAGGAACTTCACAGTGGCAGTAGGAGGCATATCTGTGGCCTTGAAACCAACCATGGTTCAGATTCCCTGATACCTCCCAGAAGATGGAGAAAACTTGGAGAAGGGGGATCCTTCAATCAGCAAGACGAGATAGAGGAACTCTGCCGGAATCTAAGTCAAGGAGAGAAGCCACATCAGCAACAGCATCCTTGCTTACCACATGTTTACCCCTGCCTGGCTTCCTAATGGCACCAAGTCCCTAAGCAGGTCTCAGAGGCCCCAGGTGGGGAAACAGGAGTAGGGGCTGGGGGAGCAATTCCTGCCACAGAGTATGGATCAGGGCCTCCCTGTGCTGCCTCAAACCCACCGACTGGCCCCTGGTCAGACTGCATTGATGAGGGCCATGTTCCTGTTCTGTGGGTCAATCCCAAGGACTGACAGTGTAGGGGAAAGTTCTGCCAGACCAGGACCTGACAGGCAATCCCCCACAGGCTTTTGTTCTGGGATTCTAAGCAGGAGCAGTTCTGATGAGTCTGGAATTATTGAAGAGAAGGAAGAGACATGTTGATTAATATAGTCCTTGTCAGCCCCAGTAAGACTCAGGCTCTCTGGAGTCACAGTTTCAATGAGCCTGCTTTGCCTGGTATGGGTTTACTGAAGACACTGGGAACAATGTGCACCTGTGAGGAAGCTTTTTGCCAGGCACAAGGCATGGGCAGGTGATTTCCAGTGACATGGAGCTTGGAGGACATACTCTCAATATGCAGAGAAGGTAACAATGAACATCAGGCAGAGAAGTGAGGAAGAGAGACGGGTCCGGGGGTGGGGGGTGGGTGCAGGTCAGAGCTCTGAAGAGATACAGGAAACCAAAAGCTCCATTTTGTTCTCAGAGCTGGAACAACACCCTCCTCACTGCCCCAGGAGGAAGTGAGCCCAGCATGCCAGTGGGGGAGGGTGACTTGCTTCTCCTTCCCGATTTCACTTCTCTGATTTCATTGGAGCAGCTGCTCTGAGCTGAGCTTGATTGGTTGCCAAGTTGCTAGGGCAGAGGAGGAAGGAGCTGGCTGGTGGAGGGAGGATGTGGTGGGAGTCACTTGTGAATAGACAACCAAGGAAACAAACAGTTAACCCAGCTTCTTCCTCCTGGACTTCACCCAGGTAGCTGGGACAACAGGGACAACATGAGCAACTCACCATAGCGATGGTTTCAACAGCACCTCAGGGGCAGGGCCTGACCTGATTCATGTTTCCTAGAGTCTAGGCCTCAGGGACTAAGTAAGCTCAAAGGGCAGTTAGGAGGATGAAGTCTCTCCTGGACTCCCCAGGGACACCTTCTAAGGTGCTCCACACCTTGCCCCACTCTACTGTTCCTGAAGTCACTTACTCCTGAAAGCAGCTTTGTAAAGGCAGCTGCCCTACAAGCTCAGAGCCCATAGATGAAAGAACTCAGAACAGCGTCTACGGCTCCAAAGCTTCAGTAGTTTGTTTTGCACTGTTGCCCAACTCATTTCTTTCCTCCTGTTTTCTCAGTCCCAGGCTCTTCAAGGAAAGTGCTCTCACACTAATTGAACAGTTCTGAGAAGGTTTGTGCAACTGACACCCATTCTCTGAGCATTAGTGACATGACACACAGAGGCTCAGCTACCACTGTGAATGTTGCCTTGGGTTTACCAGAAGTCATGTCCTTGAGGTGATTATAGGGGCAAAGGTCACCTGTACTAAAGCCCCTACTAAGAAGAGTAAGACAGACCCAGGCCTAGAAAGTTAAACCTATTTTATAGGACTAGGCAAAGAACCACTGTCCATGGTAAAAAACTAACACCTGGTTTCTAATCTCAGTCTTAGGGACAGTTAAAAGCTAGAATCAATATATGAAGTTAGGACTAAGTTCAAGCTGGTGAGATGGTTCAGCAGGTAAAGGTGCTTGCAGCTGAGCCTGATGACCTGAGCTTGATCTCTGGGACCCACATGGTAGGAGAACTGACTCTAGTAAGTTGTCCTCTGGCCTGTACACATGTGCCACGGAACCCGCGCATGCGTGTACACACACACACACACACACACACACACACACACACACAAACAAATAAATGAAAAATAAAATAAAAAAACAAAACAGTAAGTTCTAGTTCTGCTGCTGACTTCCAGGATGACCTGGAGCTAACCACGGTCCCATTTGGGCCTCAAGTTTCTTCCTTTAAACAATGGAATCCACTATCCTTAAGGGTCAGGAGACCAGGAATGACAAAAGCGCTTAGTGAACTGTGAAGAGCCACTCACCAGGGTAGGAGTAGAGTATTTTGCCATTGTCCTGTTGACTTTGGCCCCCAGACCATAAACCTGAGGTGTTATGGAGGCTTCCTTAACCTGGACTCTTACCCGGTGTGGGGCTTTGAGGTCTTTGAGGTCTCACGCTGAGGCCTTAAGATCAAGCTTCTCTAAAGGTGTCCCGTTCTTCAAAGTTGCCAGTGGCTATCATGGCCCGATTCCCTTGATTTTCCATAGAAAATGGCTGGGAGACGAAACACCTAAAGTTCATACTATGTGTCCTGTGGGTGACAGGAAAGAGACAAACTTTAGCAAGGAAAATTCCTCTTGCAGGACCACACCCCAGCAAGGAAAGGGTCACCTCTCACACACAGAAAGGACAAG